GAATTTATATAAATTTATATTATGGCCCAAGATCTTGTGCTAAACACGACACCAAATGAAACTAATCCCTTCGGCCTGCCCTTAGTCCAAATCCCTCCATTCTTTGCATATCCATGGGCTTATCTAAAAGCCCCCTTAAATGCCCCTATATTGTATCTGCCTCCACCACTACTCCTGGCAGTGTGTTCCAGACACCTATCACTCTCTGTGTAAAAAACTTGCCCCTCACATCTCTTTTGAACTGTCTTCCTCTCACCTTAAATGCTTGCCCCCTAGTAATAGACATTTCAACTCTGGGAAAAAGATTTATATAAATTCCAAGCAGTGTAGAATAACATCGCTTCAGAAATTGCTGGGAAAACTCAACAGGTCTGGCAGCATGTGTGGCAAGAAAACAGAGTTAACATTTTAGATCCAGTGACCCTTCTTCAGAACAGATTGTAGCTAGGAAAAGGTTGGTATATTGCTGAAAATGGGGTGGGAGTATGGGGTTGGGGGGGCGCGGGGAGGTGTGGAGATGGAGCCCAGAGATTTGAGCAGACAAAACAATGGGTAAAGGTCAGTCTGGGAGAATCAATAGCTGCTAATGAGGATAGAACGGCATTGGCAGCAGTCCTGAGAGGTTCAACAGACTGATCCCAGGTGTGCAGTGAATGTCTTCTGAGCAGAGGTTGAGAAAGTTGGGCCTGCACTTGATGGAATTTACAAGATAATTAGGGGTTTGCCAGGTGTAGATGTTGAAAGGCTGTTTCCCCTTGTGAGAGAGTCTGGGACCAGACAGCATAATGTCAGAGTGAGGGGTCACCCACTTAAATCAGAGATGAGGAGGAATTTCCTCCCTCAGATGGGTAGTGAGGCTGTGGAATTCTTTACCACAGAGGGCTGTTGTGGCTGTTAAATTTGTTCAAGGCTGAGATGGACAGATTTTTAATCAGTAAGAGAATCAACGGTTATGGGGAAAAGGCAGGAAAGTGGAGTTGGGGGATTGTGGCAGCCATGTTCTTATTGAATAGCAGAGCAGACTCGATGGGCTGAATGGCCTAATTCTGTCCTACATCTTATGGCCGTACCTCAAACCAGGTGTCTAGTTCCAGAGCTTACTCTTCAGCTGATTTAAAAAAAAGAACAAAAGGATATAGAAACCAGGCTGAGCAAAGCTAACCAGAAGGTTGGATATTAAGATGATGATACAAGTCATGTCATTTGAGACGACCCACTAACGTGGATGGGGTGCGGGGGAGGTGGGAAGTGATATCCTCATTATTTTGTGTTTTTCCAACAACACATGTTGTGGCTGATTGAATTGTGGGTCTGATTATAACTGTTCCTCTGCTTAATTTTTGTGAAATAAAGTAATTTGTTGATTCTTATCTGACCAAATATTTTCTTGGTCTACTTTCAAAAAAATTGAAGGAACATAACAGCAGATGTAAATATCCAGATTAGATTCTGGTGTGTGTGCCATTACTACACTCCTGTATTGTGATAATATATGGTTAGACTCTGGATATTGCTGCTACACTCTTATGTGGAGACCACTTATAGACACCATTGGGAGGAGAACAATAACAGAAAGATTGGAAAACAAAATGAGGAAACATTTAGATTCATTTAGCTCTTTCCATGAACATCCAAAGCAAAGGATAATAGTACCATTCCTATTGGAACAAGCAAGTCAGAGGCAATAGAAAGGTTAGAACTTAGAAAAATCAATATCGATAGGGAAAAGGTACTCAGCAAACTATTAGGATTTAGGGCAGACAAGTTCCCCCAGGCCTGATGGTCTACATCCTTGGGTATTAAAGGAAGCAGTGGATCCATTGGTTACAATATTCCAAAATTCCCTGGACACAGGAATGGTTCCAGTGGATTGGAAAAATGCTAATGTAATTATTCAAAAAGGCAAGGAAGCAATATGCTGGAAATTATAGACCGATTAGTTTAACATCTGTTGTTGGCAAAGTGTCAGAATCAATTATAAAGGAAGCAATATCAGGAAATTTGGAAAGTCAAAACACTATCCATCAGAGTCAGCATGGTTTTATGAAGAGCAAATTATGTTTAATTTGCTAGAGTTCCTCAAAGATGTAACAAGCAAAGTGGATAATGGGGACACTGTAGATGTAATATATCTGGACTTCCGCAAGGCATTTGATAAGGTACCACACAAAAGATTAATTCACAAGGTTGGATCATATGGGATTAGGGGTAATTTATTAGCTTGGATAGGTGACTGGCTGATGGACAAAAGACAGAGAGTTGGGATAAATGGGTGTTTTTCTGGATGGCATGAAGTAAACGAGTGGGATGCCACAGGGTTCAGTCCTTGGACCCCAGCTATTTACAATCTACATTAACGACTTGGAAACAGGGATAGAAGGCTCTGTAGCTAAATTTACAGAAAACACAAAAAATAGGCGGGACAGCAAATTGAGGAAGTAAGAACCTTACAAATGGATATTGATAGGTTAGGAGAGTGGGCCAAAATGTGGCAGACGGAGTTTAACGGGGATAAGTGGGAGGTCATGCACTTTGTTCGGAAAAATGGGAAGGTGACCTATTATCTAAATGGGGAGAGACTTTGGGGTGCTCTGGTGCAGAGGGATCTGGGTGTCCTTGTTCATGAGTCACAGAAAACTAGCATGCAGGTACAGTAGATAATAAAGAAACCGAATGGAATGTTGGCTTTTATAGCTAAAGGAACAGAATATAAAGGTAAGGAAGTATTGTTGCAACTATACAAGGCATTGGTGAGACCACACCTGGAGTATTGCGCACAGTTTTGGTCCCCTTATTTGAGGAAAGATGTGGTGGTATTGGAGGCAGTTGAGAGGAGGTTCACTAGATCGATCCCAGAGATGAGGGGTTTGTCGCATGAAGACAGATTGAACAAGTTAGGCCTATACTGTCTGGAATTTAGAAGAATGAGGGGAGATCAAATTGAGGTATTCAAGGTGATAAAAGGTATAGATAAAATAGACATGGAGCAGATGCTTCCTTTTGTGGGGCATTCTAGGACGACAGCTCATAGTTTGAGGATAAAGGGTAGTGGTCCCAAAGTGCAGTGGATGCTGGGACAGTGAGTAAATATAAGGAGGAGTCAGGCAGGTTTTAATTTCTAATGTGTAAAAAGTTTATGAGGAGAAGGCAGGAAAATGGGGGTGAGGAGCATATCAGTCATGATAGAATGGCAGAGCAGAATTTGATGGGCCGAATGGCCTAATTCTGCCTCTATATCTTATGAACCTATGATCTTATAAAATGTAGGAGCAGAAGTAGGCCATTCAGCCCATCAAGTTTGCTCTGAATTTCATTGAGATCATCACTGAGTTGGTCATCCTCAACTCCATTCTTCTGCCTTTTCCATATAGCTCTTGATTCCCATACTGATTAAAATCTGTCTCTCATTTTTATAGCCAATTACAAACATCGGTTCTGTAGAGAGTAGGAACATTGACTGTACAGTAGATGCATTGGCTGCCAATTTGCACACAGTTAAGTCCCATTATTGGAAGTATGGTACATCTAGGGGTTTTCTGGGGTTAGATAGGGTCCCCATAGATCAAACCCTCCAACCCCGGCCACATGACACACAAATTGGCATTAAGTTGTGGTTTTAACTGTAATTTTTACAAAACTATACTGTAGGAAACACATCATGCTGTTTGTTTGAATGAAGGAAGTTTCACAATAGAGAAAAGCCATTTGGCTTCTCTTTGACTGATTTTATATAATGAAATATATAATCTTCCCACCCTATTTCTCTACATACTGTGCTGGCTCTTGATTCAATTTATACTCTTTACATCAATAATCTTCTCTGATAATAACATATTGACCATTATCTATTTTTAATTCCCTATTTTAAAAAAATTTGCATTGTTTTCCAAAGTCTTTAAGACAAAAAGATTGTCAGAATTAACTCAATGAATCCCAAAATTGATGCTGCATCAAAAGAAAGAACTGACTTTGCATTTCCTCAGGAGGTCCCAAAGCATATCACAGGTGGTTTTTTTGAAATATATACTCACTCTGCTGCTTTCTAAGCCAATGTCCACACAGCAGGATCCCACAATTAGCAATGTGATAAATTAATCTGTTTCTGCTGGAGGTAGTTGAGGAATAAATCCAAGGTCACTTTGAAGACTTCCCACCTCAAGATGGAAACCAGCCCAACTGTCACAATATCTCAGTGTCCACGGCTTGACAAATTCTTGCATCTGTTCGGAAGGATTTAATCTTAAAAATCCATCAAAGACTGAATTTCTAAATCGGAGATGAATGCAGCCACAATTTTAAATTGCCCTGACTTTAGGTTTACCTTCAACTTTAACTGGCTGCTTCTTATTAATGATTGCATTTGCCAGCATCACTCCCTCATTAATAAATAAACTTGAAAAGCACCATTTGCCATTAGGAAGCTGAGTACAAGTGAGCTAACGTAGATACCTGGTTCACTCTCAATGTGCCAGAAAGTTATAAATGTACACAAAATGTACAAGATCATCCATTGTGGAGATTGTGAGGGTTATTTTATTTATAAGAATTAGTGATATTTTGAAACATTTAACAGTGTGCATGGACTGGGTAGTGTGGGCACTTAGAGGATGTTTCCTATTGTTGGGGAGACTACAAATGAGACACAGTTTGAGAAAAAGGTTTCCCTTTTAAGGTGGCAATGAGGATATTCTGTTTTCTCTCTCAGAGGATTGAGAGTCTCTGGAATTCACAAAGCAGTGGAAGGTAAATCATTGAATTTATTCAGGCGCAGAGTTAGATGGATTTCTGATAGATAAGGTGTGTGGGGTGGGGACTGGAGAGCTAGTGATACTGAGACCATAACCAGATGAACCAATGATTGCAATGAATGGTGCAACAGGTATGAAGGGCTCAATGGCCTACTCCTGCTCCTAAATCCTACGTTCCTATACAACTGGATAGATCATGCAAATCAGGGAGACTGGAGTAACATTAATTTAATGAACACCATGGATGTACATTTGAAATACTGGATTACATACAGCTGATTAATCAGCTTACAAATATCTGCACACAGAATATGCTGTAGTACAGCTGGCAGTGTCTAACCCACAATTACTTGGATTCATAACTTAATTAACATAATATAACTTGCTATGGTCATCACCATATGTCCAGATAATGTTACTCAGGCCCTAGAATTTAGCTGATCTATAATGCAAATTTCATATGTTAAAACACTCCCAATGTCCTCATTTATAAAACTGTACCTGGTCATTCATGACGTAGAACAATTTAGAATAAACATCTCTCCTGAACCAAATCATTCAACAACACTCTGCAGCCAACTATCAAACCCGAAAGGAAGATCTTTGTTGTTACAGATTCTGATATTTTGACACTATGGTGTGTACAATTATTAATTAAATCTGCAGTAGAACATGTCACTTCAACCAAGCAGGGATGGCAAGTCCTTGGCACATCAACTGTTTGATAGTGCCAACATCTTTCCACAGGCCCCTCAGTGCCACCATTGGAGGTCTATGCACTTATACCCCAACATAGAGACTTGGTCCAGAGCTCCAAGACATTCCTGCTGACTTCATGCCAGGGCATACTCGAAGGTGCCCTTCTCTAGTCCATCCATCCCATCTGCCCATGTTAAGGATGACATACTGCTGTAAGGGTCCAGGAGGATTCGGAAACATCGCACAATGAGAAGTCCCAGGAAAATGAATAACATACCCACAAAAGCAAATGCAGTTTTTTGCTCCAAGGTGAGTGGGTAGGAGTGTATGGTGTTGCCTGTACCGATACCCAGGGAACTGTTATAGTGATTATTGTTCATTGTCACAGGATTGTGTCCTTACTGTCTTCTAAAAATTAGCATCATCACCATTAAATCTAAAGACAAAATTCGAGAAAAAAAATGGTTAGAAGTAGCATGAGCATAGTGGTAGAGTCATAGAGTAATACAGCACAGAAACCTTCAGTCTAACTCATCCATGCCAAACAAGTTCCCCCAAACTAAACTAGTCCCATTTGCCTGCGTTTGGCCCATATCCCTGTAAACCTTTCCTATTAGCCTAAGTCTAGATGCCCAGATTAAATAGTCTGGGAAAGTAGATTCAAATCCCACCACTGCAGCTGGTAGAATTTAAAATCTGGACTATATCTCAGTGATAATGACCATAATAACTACCATCATTTTTTTGTAAAAACCCATCCCCCCTGTTCACTCATTTTGTTTAGGGAAGGAAACTGCCATCTGGCCTACATGTAACTCCAGACCCACAGCAATGTGGACGGCTCTTAGGTTCCCTCTGAAGTGGCCATGGAAGGCCCTGTTGTTGAGAAGACACCTTTTCTGGTCAGGTTAGGGATGGGAAATAAATTCTGGACTTGCCAGCAATTCCCACATCTCATGAAAGGATAAGGAAAAAACCTGCAGATGATGGAAGTCCAGAACCAAAGGGTAAGATTCTAGAAATACTCAGCAGATCAGGCACCATCTGTGGAGAGAAATATACGGTTAACCCGCTAGATATTCTGAATTCTGAAACATGAACCATGCCCCTCTCTCTGCCTGAATGTTTGCAGCATTTTCTGTGTGAAGTGCTCTCTGTTCTATTGATATACGACACACACTCAGTGTGTGGAACGCAACTGGGAATGTTCAGCTTATTAAACACTGACTCCAGGAAAAGGTAACATTGGGAGGGTTGCCTTTGAGTGGCCAAGGTTTAAACTGCAGCATGAATGAACACCCCATCCTGGTAAAGGGGTTGTTGAAGACCATAACTTCCCACAGTCAGTGAAGGAATGTGTGAAACTCTGAGATGCAGTGATCCCAGCTTCCTGCACCTGGGAAATGGCAACTAGGAGTGTCTGAGGAGCAGAAGGAATGAGGAAGGGGGAAATTGGAATCTGCAGGGCCAGTAGAGGGGGAGGGGCAGCTAAAAGGGCAGGAATGGGGGACAGGAGCATGGAGGGGCAGTAGTACAGAGTGAGGTGGGGCAGAGGAAGAAGATAGGTTGGGGCATTGATGGGGCAGAGCTGGCACTGGGGAGGTGGGGAGGGCAAGGTTTAGGGTAGGGATGGAAGTAGAGGTGGGAGAATGATTGAGCATGGGGACAGGGAAAGAATGTGGAACAGTGCAAATGGGGAAAAAAGAGCAGACGGTAAGGGTGCTGGAGGGTTAACTTAAATCAGATTGCAACCAGGAACAAAGTGTTTATCTCTCCCACTCAGTTAGACAGGAATCTGCCTGATTCCAAGGGTGATGGAGGTGGGGAGGGGATAGAGCGGAACAGGAGAAGGAGGGTTGGGGATGGTGATGAATAGGGAGGGGGTAATGCAGAGGGAGGGAGTTAAAGGGATGATGGAGAAAGAGGGACGGGGGTGATGGAGAGGAATGGGGGGATTGCTAGAGAAGGTGAGGGAGTTGTGGGTGTTGAGGTTGGTTGGCTCGCTGAGCTGGTTGGTTGTTTCGCAGACGTTTCGTTAGCGTGCTTGGTAACATCATCAGTGCAGCCTCTGATGAAGTGTCAGTGTGTTTTCCCGCCTGGTTTTTAAACTCTGGGGTCCATTGCGATGGATTGCCTCACTTCCGGGTTTCCTCCGTAGTGGAATGTATACGGGGTTGAGTTCAATGTGTTTATTAATAGACACCAGAGTTTAAAACCCAGGCGGGAAAACACACCGACACTTCATCAGAGGCTGCACTGAGGATGTTACCCAGCATGGTAATGAAACGTCTGCAGAACAAGAAACCAGCTTGGCGAGCCAACCAACCTCAACACCCACAACCCGAGCTACAAATCTACTCCAAAACCTTGGAGTTGTGGGGGTTGCGAGGGGTGATGCAGTGGGAAGGGATGGGTGTGATGGAGTGGGTGGAGGGAAGAGGAGGGGGAGATGGGAGGTGAGGAGGATGCAGGCGGATGGTGGGGGGGGGGGGGGGGGGGGGGGGGGGGGGGGGGGGGGGGGGGTTACGTTCTGGCTCCGGGTCCGGTCATGGGAACTTGTTGCCAATCGGGATCCGTGGATGTGAGACCCTTCCCCCAGGGGGAGGGAAAGAGCCTTCATCCCCCTCCCTCAGCCTGAGGGTTCCCCTCTCCTCCATTCCCTCCCACCCCCTCCCTACTCTGGGGGTGCAAGACTCCCTCTCACTACCCCTCCTTAATCCCTACCTCCCTCACTCCCTTGGCCCTCCCTTCTTCCCTTTACCACTCAGTCCCACACTCACCCACACTCACCCACACTCACCCACACTCACCCACACTCACCCACACTCACCCACACTCATTGCTTCTCCCTCACCTGTCCACACTCCCCCTTCCCACACTCCCCTCTGCTGCTCTCTTTGTCATACAAAGGAGTGAGGAGAAAGGGAGTAAGATAGAGAAAAACAGAGAGGGTGTGAGGAGAGAGGGCGGGAGATAAGGAGGAATAGAGGAGTTGTGACAAGAAAAGGAGAGAAATAAAGAGGGTATAAGGAGAGAGAGATGGAGACAGGGAAAGAGACAGAGAAACGAGTGAGACGGCGGAAGAAGGGAGGGAGTGAGACGGCGGAAGAAGGGAGGGAGTGAGACGGCGGAAGAAGGGAGGGAGGGAGACGGCGGAAGAAGGGAGGGAG